TTATGAACATGTCATGTCAGTGCACGTGTGCCTTGATGCCTTTATCACTGAAATAAGTGGTCCTTGAAATCCAATAAGGCACAATTAGTTCTACATGTAAATCATTTATTTATTCTTGCCCCATTATTTTTATATTTGTGATTTAAAAAAAAACGTTTTAAGTCTTATCATATTTCCATTGCAAACTAGCTGTAGCTTTTGTGCATATGGCAATACTTTGAATTTTGAGGTTGGCTTATTGTAGAATCATATAATTATTATTTAAAAAATGATGAAACAAATCAAAATAACTTTATTTACTGTTCCAAGTTAGACATCCTGTAAGAAGATGATTCCTCCATGACATCCTTAAGATAACAAACGGTGCGTTTCAGTGCCTGAAAGAAGGGGCTGAAATATTTCCCTCCACACTTGAGTTGAGAGGATTTTCTGTATCCAGGATGTAAACTTGAGTAACTCCTGAAGGACTACACTTATCAGCGGCTTTTGGACCTTGCACTGCAAGAGCCTCGTCTCTGTGGCACGCGTTTGATCACATGCAGGACGACACAATCTACTGTCCTTCTCCTTCACAGTCACTGCTTGGTGAGCCCACGTGCTGCTGATCTGCTGCTGCCTCAAGGTAACCCTTACCTTCACAACATGTCATTGTCTTTAATCCAAATGTTCTTGGTTAAACTGGCAGTAAATCTAACAAAATCTTTTTTAATCTACCTCACTTTCTATTGAGGTATTTCTGTGTTGAATTTTCCTACAGTCTTAGTCTTTGTTCTTGGTTGTTTGATCAGTCTCTATCTGGCTCTGCTCATCAACAAACTATCTTAACTAGAAATACACTTTTGGGTGATTTAAAGGTGGAATATCACCTTGGGTTTAAACATTTTAGAAGGTAAGAAAATGTATAGATAGTCTTTAAACAGTTACATCCAAAACGTTCAAATAAATACAGGTGTGTTGGGACATTACTTCCCCCATAAATCACCTAAAACAATCTTGTCTTCTTAAATGAAACACATTTTGATTCAGCATATTGCCAATTTGTTTTAAAAACCTTACCGCTATCTTGGCCTTGAAGCAGCCCGTCTTACTCCATTAACTTAGTGATTGTGGGTTTATTATCTCAGAGGGACATGAACCGTCTCATCATCAAACCCCATACATGCTGAGGATGATGAACTTTGGAAAACATGTGACCAGTTCTGCTGACACTCTCTAACTCTGCATGTGTGTGTGTGTGTGTGTGTGTGTGTGTGTGTGTGTGTGTGTGTGTGTGTGTGTGTGTGTGTAGACAGCTCTGAGTCAAAATTGTTTTGTGTGTGTGTGTTGGTAATTCTTCCTCAGCTTGTATGGTTACTAATGAAGAGCCAGTGTTTTCAGGCATGTGGTGTGTTTGCTTCTCTCCTCTGTCAATACACTCAACCTTAAAAGGCCATTTGCTGTGCGGCCTAATGGCTCTCCAATCCACCAAACTGCCCCTAAATCCACCAGTGTCCTCACTAATGTAGGATTTTGTTTTACATGTTTGTTCTCACATTAGCGCTTTGGGCATGTAAATATGTTTTTGTTTGATTTGGACAGGATTAAAACAACACAAGTATTTGCTTTATGTGTGTCCTGAAAATCAATCTCTATGGTGACAGCATCGCTGATATGACGTGTGTGTCCTCCACAGATGGAAGGAGATGACGATAGATAACCGCGGGGAACGTTGACCAGTCTTCAGTCACACATCAATGAGAAAAACTCTCCAATTGTGACTGAAATATTCCCATTTCTAACTTATATATTTAAAAACCACCAAAAACACGAACAATGGCGTCCTACAGCCCCGCCCCAACGGAAGAGGAGAGCAATGGCAGCCCCCCGTCTGCAAAGAAAGGGGAGTCCATGAAGCTGAAGAAGGAGATCTCCCTCCTGAACGGGGTCTGCCTGATCGTGGGGAACATGATCGGCTCCGGGATCTTCGTCTCACCCAAGGGCGTCCTCATCCACAGCGCCTCCTACGGCCTCTCCCTGGTGGTGTGGACCGTCGGGGGGATCTTCTCCGTGTTCGGCGCCCTGTGCTACGCCGAGCTGGGGACCACCATCACCAAATCCGGGGCCTCCTACGCCTATATCCTGGAGGCCTTTGGGGGTTTCATGGCCTTCATCCGCCTGTGGACGTCGCTGCTGATCATAGAGCCCACCAGCCAGGCCGTCATAGCCATCACGTTCTCCAACTACATGGTGCAGCCCATCTTCCCCACCTGTATCGCTCCGTACCTGGCCAACAGGATGCTGGCTGCTGGTTGCATATGTAAGTACACATTTAGAGTGTGTGTGATAGTGAGAGAATGGAAAAGAAAGTCACCTATAATGGAAAATCCACTTTTTCATGTATTTTCTACATCAACATGTGTTGTCCCTTCTGTATAAAGAGATTCTGGACGTTTCAGGAACAAAGACCCCCTCTCTTTCTGTCCTGATCCATTTATATAAAAAACCTGTCTGAAAATGAGCTGAACAGATTTTGACAACTTGATGTCATAACGTTTTTTTGGGTTGTGCAACCATTAGCCAATCAACAGGGGATTATGGGGTGTTACAATGGGTGACCCGTTTGGTATTTGGAGCCTAACACTTCAGAGACATGTTCTGTATATATCCGAGACCTGTGATATATTGTTGAACATTTGTATAATAGGGGACCTTTAAGAAAATGCCACAGTTTTGTAGACTAGAGAAGTGAAAAGTAAGCGTCAGCACGTCAGCAGCAGAAAGGCTAACTGACAAAGGAAAGAGGAACTGAGCACCTCCTAAAAACATATCCACCAAGTAGGAGGAGAAAAGGAAAAAGCCATTTTACTCAATCTCAGATTACGAAATCCATGTCTAACACGTGAGGAGTCACAACTCTTTATTGGTATGGGAACAGCAAGACTGTCCTTTAAAGTACATCTTTGTGAAAGGATGTGCCGAGCTAACTTGGACACATTGACCCTGTGAAAGAGCAGAGCTGACAAATCAATCAAACTAACAAGAAATTCACAACGCTTCTCACCACGGCAACCAAGCTCCATTTAAGAGGCGACGAAATACCAACGCTCAAGCAACCACACAAGAAGCCAGAGTTATAGCTTACAGACAAGCCCTGATCAAGATAAAAAATAAACATATTGTGCTAGTTTGCAATAAATATTACTCATGCGTCCACCCCACTCATTCATGCATGAAGACACACTTAAATACAGGAAGATACACTCTTGTGCCATGCTCCGATAAGCAGTTCCAGGAGGAGAGGCTGATAGCTGTGAGGTAAAGTCCTGCAGGGAGACTCTGACCTGAGAGGCTAACGGCTACTGCCAGCTCAGCACAGGAGAGAGGCTTCCTGTCAGATACAATACTGTAAACTGGAAATATAATTCTATCCTTTATTAGTTGCTTTTGGTCAAAGTTAATTGTAAATGGAATTTCTTTCTTAGCTCTAGGCAGAACGTCTCATAAAAATGTAATTGAGCAGAAGTTGGTCAAATTGTATGGAAGCCAATTCATGCCAGGAAAAACTCAAAATAAGGTGAAATGTTATGCATGAAAATATCTTTTTAAATCCAAATAAATGTAAGCTTCTAGAGAGTCAAAGTCAAACATAACTAGTAGCAAGTGTTGATGTGCGCAATATTTTAATTAAACCCCCATCATGTTATCTCACTCTCTGCAAGGCTTTATAATTATTAAGTCAAAATCTTGATTTACTATCTCATAATTCAAACTAAGGTCAAACATTTGAAATCCTTTTCTTAAAGTCTGAATTTCTTTCATAATCATAACTTATAAAGCACACTTCTTTTTTTCATAATCAGGATTGAATACTTTTTAAATGGTTAATCATGATGTTTACTTAATATCACATACTTTTGACTCGTATACGTAATTTTCTTTTTCCCAATGGTTATTTACTTAGTACTACATTTTAATATTTTTTTCAATGTTTGTTTTTGTGGAAATGGGCTTTCCGAAACGACCCTCTTTCTCCACTTTTCAAACCACATGACAGAAATAAATGGCAACTTTGACGAAAACTACTTTTTTGGTATATCAGCAGTAAGAAAACACCTTATTCACTCGCTGAATGTACATTATACTCTCTTCTCTCTACATCTGGACCGTATTTGACCTTCCTTACCCGATCTCACACCTCCCACCCTCCTAACCTTTCACAGTCAACACACCACGCCCCTACTTCTGTGTGGCAAAGTCTCCCTCTCGCTCTGGGCTTTATTGTATTTGACCGGACCTCCTGCTGGGAAGGGGCTCGTTATGATCCTCTACCTGTCAAAGTGAAGATGATAGTGTTATGATTCGTCCCCTCACTGCGGATGAAGGTGGTCAACACCAAAGAGCGGGGGGGGGGGTGTAATCCTAAGATCTTGAGCGATAAGTGAGTGGAAGCGCTCTGACATGGTGAACTTGTAGATACAATGTGTCCACTCAGCTGGACAATTTGTGCCACGTTTCTGAACTTGAAGGTATAACGTGCTGATAAGAGTCCTGACAGAGATAAGCCACAGGAAGAAGCACGAAAACATGTTTCCAAAGAAGTTGCAATAAGGAAAGAAGTAGCAGTTTTCCCTATCAGTCATTGAGTTAATAATGTTCAAAAATCTCCAGCCTCCAGCAGAAAAATACAAGATTTAGTGACCGACTTCCAGCTGTACCTGTGTGTGTGTGTGTGTGTGTGTGTGTGTGTGTGTGTGTGTGTGTGTGTGTGTGTGTGTGTGTGTGTGTGTTTCTGGGTGTGTAAGAGGTTGCATGTGCTGCACTCAGCTGTTTCCTCGTCTGAAAAACAACAGGCCAGTATGCTTGAGTCAGCAGCAGCGTTTCCTTAAATCACACACGGAAACATGCCGGCACACACTCAGTTTACAGAGCAAATGTCACCCACTCGGAATATTAAATGATTAGTTTCTGTGTGTTTTTTATTTATCCATATTCATGCATGTATTTTGGTTTCTTTCACTTACCTCAGGTTTGCTGACCTTTGTGAACTGTGCCTATGTAAAGTGGGGCACCAGGGTCCAGGACTTCTTCACCTACGCCAAGGTCATCGCCCTCATCGCAGTCATCATCGCCGGCCTGACGAGGATCGGACAAGGTCAATAACTCATCTCGCACCCACCAATATAATACCAAATGCTACATAATAACTATAGACTTACACAGGTGATTATTTCTGCTTCAAATGAAATGATTGTGTTTCCCAGGTCACACACAGAACTTCGAGGGGCTTTTCGATGACTCGTCTCAGGATGCAGGACACATTGCTCTGGCTCTGTACTCGGCTCTGTTCTCATACTCGGGATGGGACACCCTCAACTTTGTCACAGAGGAGATCAAGAACCCAGAGAGGTGAGGACAGAATAGTAAATACGAAATAAAAGCAATCTTTAGTTTGGATCAAATTAGGCTTGATTCACGCTTTATAGACAGAATATATTGTCAAAATGTAGCTGAAGATACACCAAATTCAGGGAGCATCTTGCAAAGTTAAGTCTTTTTCAGCATGACATTGCTTCTAATTGAACTGTGGATTTTAAAAGTGCATACAAAAAAGTATCTCTTACAGTATGAAGCAATATTCTAATGGCATTTACGTCTGGTGAGCTCTGGAAACTATCCAATTAAGAGAATAATCTGTAAAAAAAAAGGGGAATTACGCCATTTCTGAAAAACTCATCACGGGAATTCCTATGGTATAAGACAGTTAAATATGAGTTAATGTGACAAATCTCTCAAAAACCCAAAGGCAAATGTGCTAGAAATCTAATGTGTGATGTCATCAAGCATAAGGATATGCAGCCGCTCCAGATTTTATACCTGATGTAACAAGTTTCGGTTCAACTCATGTTCACAGATATTGATGTTGTCCTTTATATCAGAATGCTGTACTTCCCCTAGGCATAGCTAAGACAAGTTTTAAAACAACCTTTCTGCAATCTGTGACCACTTACTACAGTTAACTTCACAAGATTATTCCTGTAAAGCCAAAGGAAACGCTTACTTTCCCTGCACAAAGGTTCACAGTTCTGCTCTGATGTTTCAGACAATAGGAAACAATCACATTGAGAGTGTGTGTGTGTGTGTGTGTGTGTGAGTGAGCCCTTTGGTGTGATTCACAGAGCCAGACACTGATCAAATGAAGTAAGACTACACATGTGATTGGATCACAAGCCTCTCCCAGAGTTCCCAGGGAGATTAAGTGACAAACGGCCCCAATTTATCACAATCCCCGTCCTCCCCTCACCCACGGGGTCGATCTGCTCTTGACCCCAAGGTGTCTAAAGCCTCTGTTTCTCATTTGTTTTGCTTCCCTCTGCTGGTTGTCTTGGTGAACTACAGGAATCTTCCACTGGCCATCGCTATATCCATGCCCATCGTCACCGTCATCTACATCCTGACAAACGTGGCTTACTACGCCGTCCTGCCCATGAACGCAATCTTAGCCAGTGATGCTGTGGCTGTGGTAAGTTCATCTCTCTGTATACTTGCTGTACTGATGTAAATCTCCCCTTTGTGGGACTAATAAAGGGACTCATTCTGATTACTCTGAGTCCATCAAGTGCATGAACACCATTCATTCTCTTGTTTCTAGACGTTTGCAGACCAGGTGTTTGGCGTCATGAACTGGACCATTCCCTTGGCGGTGGCTCTTTCCTGCTTCGGAGGACTCAACGCCTCCATCCTCGCTTCCTCCAGGTGAGGGAATTTGTTTTGTTGTAATTTCATCTCCGTGTTATCAGCACCTACTCATTGTGTCCAACAGCGACAGAATGGGTTGTAAACTTAAGCTGAAGATATGCCAAATCTAGAGAGTACCTTCAATATGAAGTCTTTTTTAGTATGATATTGCTGTGGACTTTGAAAGCACATCAAAATGTATATCTTAAAGTATGAAAAGCATAAATTACTTTGAACAGGAGGAATGATTATGCAACCAATGTTTCCATATTCTGAGGGCATCGAAGTCTGACAAGCTCTGGATATTATTCAATGCAAAGGAGCAAAATCTTAAAGGGGAACTAAGCCCCTTTTCAAGACTTGTGCAGGGACTTCCTATTGTATAAAAAAGTCAGTAAATTGGACAAATCTCTCCAAAATCCCCAAGCAAACGTGTGATAAAACAAAATATGTGTGACGTCATCCAGCATAAGGATATGCAGCAGCTCCAGACTCTTTACTTGATGACATCACAAGTGTTAGTCTTCTCTCATTTCTGGTTTTAAGAGTAGCTCGACATCATCGTCCACTTTCTTTGTGTCTCTAAAGGCTGTTCTTCGTGGGCTCCAGAGAGGGCCACCTGCCCGACTACCTGTGCATGATCCACGTCCATCGCTACACCCCCATCCCCGCGCTGCTCTTCAACGTCAGTCAACCCTCATCGATCATTTCCTGTCCATCACATGACATCTGTTTTATTCCCCTGTTGCGTCCATCACAGTCTGACTGACGTTGTTTCTTGTTCCAGGGCGTCATGGCTCTGATATACTTGTGTGTGGAAGATGTCTTCAGGCTGATCAACTACTACAGCTTCAGCTACTGGTTCTTCGTTGGGCTGTCCATTTTGGGGCAACTGTATCTGCGCTGGAAGCAGCCGGACAGGAAGAGGCCGCTAAAGGTAAGAAACAGAACCAGAGATATCACCTGCAGCCTACATTACCCACAATACAACTCAACACACCCATTATTATCATCTTCAAATGTGACAAAAGTGACAGAAGTTTGTTTGCCTCGAATACAGAGAAGTAGAAGTTGCCTCAACTGAAACCTGTGGAAGCTAAATGTGCGCTAGTTTATAAAGCTTTAGTTCATGTCTTCAATGTTGCTGGAAGCAAAGACGTACATCAAATGATGATGTGTAACAGTTATACCACATATTCTGTGCGTGTAACCAGATGTAAACTTGGTTGATTTTCCCGTTTAAAGGAGTAATTCACCGACAAAAGGAACATTTATTTATCAATTACTCACCCTGGCTTAGCTTAAAGTCATGAAGAAAACAATGTACAAAGAATCCAACAGTGGTGAAAAGTCACAATTAATTGAAGTCAATGGTGGCCTAATTTAGCAACAGCAAAACTATATCTAAACATCCGTTAAAAAACTCACACAACACTAAAAGTGTAATCCAAATCTGATATTTCCAGTCGTACGCCCACTACTTCCACAAGTTGTTGGTACTGTCAATAACTGTAAAGGAAAATAAAAAATTGTCTTTTTATAACAACAATCCAAGGGCTAAAAATGTATGGCATTGTATTTTACCTGCACTTGTAAAGCACCTTGTAACTGGTTGTGGGAGATGCTATAGAAGTAATGTTTATCCTACTAATTTCGAATTATATGTTGTAACCCTCAACTCTATTTCCCTCTTCGCCCCTCAGCTCAGTCTCATCTTCCCCATCGTTTTCTGCCTCCTCACCGTCTTCCTGGTGGTGGTGCCGCTCTACAGTGACACCATCAACTCTCTGATCGGCATCGGCATCGCCCTTTCGGGAATTCCCGTTTACTTCCTCTGCATCTACACTCCGGCCACGAAGAGGCCGCTGGCGCTACGGAGACTCATCGGTAAGAAAACTGCAGGATTAACACATTGCTTTCATACATTAAAACCACCATGTCATACTTTAAAACAGCAGGGGTCTTAAGTATCCTCAGGGCCACTGACCAGTTTGATTCCTGTTGGATAATTGGCTCTAATGTCCAAGGAGGGAATTAAAAAGGATTAGGGTGCAAAAATAGATGTTCTTTGGCTGAGGGGTAATGAACATTTACCTGAGGAAGGAGAATCAGAGAAGCAGGGAGAATTGCAGGACAGAATATTGATCTTAACACAAAGAAAAAAATGATAGACCTTCCTTTACCAAAAATGGTGTGAGGGCATGATTTAAAAGAAAATATAACAAATTGTCTGAAACTATAGAAAATATCTGATTATTTATGCCAATTTCACCACAAACAAGACTCACAGTGATGTATCTAACTTGCTAAATGAAAGGGTGTATTTCTGAAAACTGCAGTGCACCCTGGGAAATGTTCCAGCCTAACTGTCTTTTAACCGAGTGCTAGACATGTTCAAGTTGGTTCGCTCTATTTCCTTAACATGATATCATAGCTGCTGCAGACTAGAGTGCTTTAACATTAATGATGTCAACTTAAAAGATGGCGTCAATGCTTACATCTGGATTTGGTGTGATGGTACATGAAGAGATCGTTTAAACCTTCCTCTTGTCTTCATTTCTTTCAGCTAAATTCGGCGTGGTGATCCAGAAGGTGTGCTTCTCTGTTCTGACTGAAATGGACCACGAAGAGTAGACGTTTGGTTATCAACAGCCTGCCGGAGACCCGCGAACGCACAAATGCAGAACCTGAACGCATCGCGGCCAGCCGCCTCAAGGCTTCGATGGACGAAATAAACATTTGGGCTTGAGCTGGACCCAGCTCTCTGACCTGTCAATCATCCTGATGTTGCCCGGGTGACTGATGGCCAGCATTTCACTCCAGCTGACTTCAGAGGGAACATTTGAATGCACTCCTGATTTAATCAACACCTCTTTATACGACAGAACTTGTAGAGAATGATTTAATTGACACGTCAGGACCGGTATTTTGTGTAGTTTTTAAAATTTGACTGGAAGGTCGCAAATTATTATTGTAATAAATGGTGTGCTGCTGCATTGCTGACCGTAGGAACATCCTTGGTGTTATTTTTTATTATAATTTGCACAAAGAAAATCAAGCAGTAACAGAGATTTATGTTCCCACGCTCACTTATGTGGGAGGAAAGGTTAATAATGTTTTATACGGTCAGCTGTGATGTCTAGTGAAGGGCTATTTTTACTAAAATGTACTTTCTTGTGACTTAAACATGGTGTTTAAATGTAAGAGCTTGTGACAGTTGAGCTGCAAGCAAGTATTTATAATAAAATTACTTAACAACAATCGACCAATGTCTTTGATTTCCAAGTATGTTTCTAGGGAAGTGGATTCACTTAAATCTTTTTTTATTCCCAAACCCAGGGAAATTCACCTTAATATGACGTAAAAGTCAAAAAACCTCTAAACAGCATTATTTTAGGGCCAATCTAACTGATCGGTTGACTCATCATTGCAGCTAAGTTTTAGGAAAAAAAAAAAAAAAAAAGTGGTTGTTTTGAAAATGACTTGACATTTTAATTACTATAATACACATAATTATTGATAACATAATTACAATTGTCTCCTTCGCTGTCCTCTCTTCCATTCATAAATATTTACATAAATCACTTTCAGTCTGCTCTGCCTTGCCAGCAGGCTTTTCCGTCTTTCTGACGCTGCGGCCATGGGTGTTGCTGCAGGGGATTGTGGGTAAAAGTCTGCCTCAGTGGCCCTGCAGAGAAAAATAAAGAGAAGTCATATAGCACTTTTTATTATCCTTTATTCTCATTTAGAGAAATTACATCCAGGAGTTTCTTAGCAACTGAAATAAATCCACAATAAGAATAACATCTGTGGATGTGAAGCTGATGAACCGACCTTAGGCAGCGAGGTCCAGATGATTTTAAACTCTTCTTTGTTTCTCTGCCAGCTCTCGGGCCATTTGAGCGTTTTTCCAGCCTGCAGACGAGACATTTCCAACATGTAAGACAACTGACTTGGCCTTAAATCGTAATCTATGAGATGTACGTTCGGACTCCTACTTTTCCTGATGCTTTCCAATAAGCCGTCGCTGTTGGCTGGGATTGGGTGTGGGATCATCGCCGGGATCTTTAACCTCTCTCTGACCAATGGGTGTCTGAGCAGGGCGACTTGACCCAGGGAGAAGCAGTTGGAGGTCAGCCAGTAGGTGAACACCGCCTGAGGTTTGGTAGAGGAGAAGAGGGTTGTCACATTTAGATGCATTTGCTACCTACAGTATGTAAGATGTGATTTGAGGTTCAAACGGACTCACTGTGGGGAAGCTGATCGTGAAAGGGAGGACGACAAAAGGCATGATCCTGAACACAGTCTTCAAGTGTCGCAGTTGGGGGTTTTCAACACCAGACTCGGCACCAAACTAAGAGAAAAAGCAACAATGCGGTGATTATTTGACGTTCTTTCTTTCATTTCTTTCTATAAGACAAGGAAGTCAAAGCCCGCTGACCTCCAGGATGAAGAACATGGTGCCTGTGACGACTACAGGGAGGATGTAAAAAGGGTCTGCTGCCGTCAGGTCGGGGAACCAGAGCAGGCCTCCGCTCTGAATGCTGGGCACCGGCAGTTCAGACATCTTCCTCAGCGCGATGAAGAAGGAGATGAAGACTGGGGCCTGGAGGAACACATGAGGGATTTATCCTGATGGTATTGAGTTATAATACACATATAGTATTACCCTTTCTATTTTCTGTTAACTCTTTGATGCAGGTACATTTTGGATTACATTTGACCAGAATTGTACCATGACTAACGTGACAAACCAAATGTATTGTAACTTAACAGAGTAAATGATTGATATCTCATCCAAATGTTTAAAAATCTGAAGGTCCCACTTAGTCCCGCATAGTTGGCAATGCAATATTGAATGTGAACAGCAGGTGGCACATGAAGCATTTCCTGTAATTTAGCCTCAACAAAAGGCCAATGTATAGAATTACGTGCTTTAAATCGAGGAAAAGTAGTTAATTGTAAAATAACTGTTAACTCAAAGTTCAAAAGTATTTGCATTAAAGTATATTAAACTATTAAAAGTAAAAGTAATCATTAGGCATTATGTCCCATTTCAGAATATTTATTCAATTACTGGATTATGATTACAGACATTAAAGCTGGTGCTATTTGAATTGCTTTGTTAACGGCTAATAAATATGTTAACATGTAATTAGATCTCAATGTTTAAAAATAAATGTAGTAAAGTATAGAGTACAGTAGTGAGATCCAAAATGTAGTGGAGTATGAGAGTAGTTACGTAGAAGTACCCTGAAATTGTACTTAAGTTCAGTAATTGACTAAATTCACTCACATTTCCTGATAGAGAGATAAACTGACCTGAATCAAAGGTACAATGAATCCGCGGAGAGGACTCACATTATGCTTGTTCTTGAACAAGCTCAGCTGAAAGTAGGCTTTGGCAACTGAAACATAGAAAGGACCGCTCATGACAAGTTGTTGAAGCTGGATGTCTTCAAAAGCATGAACACTAACAGAACTCTAAATCGTGGCTCAAAAGAAAAATGAAATGTAGAAGAAGAACGAGATTTTACATTCTAATTTGTTTCCACTGTTTTGCGCCTCGCTCATCTGGTTATTCAGTCTGCCAAACACGGCCATTACATTGTGCAGCTTGGCCGCCTCCCTCTGGCCCTTCACGATGACCGGGAACACGGCCACACGGGCAATCACCGTTCCTAAAGGAGAGGGAGGGATAAAGAGGAAGAAAGGAAATATTAAACGCTCTCATACACACATGTGAAAGGCTTACATACACTCATGTGACACGTGCTATTATGCACATGATACAGGTGAAATGCTCTTATACACACACATATGAAACATTTCGTAAACACACGAGAAACGCTGTCATATACCCATGTGAAATGCTTTCATACACACATTATACAGTCCCGCAAACACACATTTGAAACGCTCATAAACACACATGTGAAACAGTCTCAAACACACATCTAGAACGCTCTCAAGCAAAAACTTGCATACACATGTAAATCACCCAAAACAGATATGATTTTGAATTCTGATATGCTTTACTACTTTTCCAGAGAATGTCTAATCTAGTGTTGCTTACCTACGACAATGGCCCCCCACCAGGGTATTCCAAGGTCAATGTGAATGTACTCTAACAGGCTCTGGACCATCCCCACTGGTGTGCGTGAGGCCAAACCCAGCGCCGCTAAACTGGGTTCTGTGACCACAGCCTGAAGGACCTCCGCTGCCGTTGATGAGACATCAGCGACCTGCTCAGTGAACGACTGCGACAAAACAGGGATCTGAAAACAAAAATGGAATCATATAAAGTTAGAAGCTGACTAAAGTCTTTAAATGTGACTTTTGATGTAGTCACAGCTACCTGTTCTGTGATTGGTTGTGTGATGATGGAGGTGGGGTCAGCAGGCAGAGAGACGGGGAAGGTTCGCAGCACAGGAAGGACTTCAGAAGCGTCCAACAGTGAAGTCGTTGTGGTTCCATCCTAAGGTGGGATCTGTCAATATCAAGTTAACTGATTCTGCTCAACAGCTATGTTATGATTAACCTGTTCACATGTGTGCCGTCTCACCTGTGAGCTGTTGTGTCTGACGGCCGCAGCGTTCACCCAGAGGAACTTCCTGTTCTGTCTGCGGCCCAGCAGAGTCCTGGCAGCAGGACTGCAGCTCTCAAACACTGTGTGCAGATGGGACTTCTGGAGCAACCACTGAGTTAAAGAGAAGGGAAGTGTCAGCCACATACACATTAAGAAACTACTACAACCTACTGTTACTGTGTCACATAAACCCAGGGGGTGGTATTTATTTACTTATTGCACTATATGGTGTCTTGCACTGTCTAAAACCTTAAAGTTCAAAGGCTGTATAGTCATATGCACAGCTAGTGTGGTTATTGCAATGGAAATCAAAAGGCTTCTCCAACAATGCAACATAAATATACATAACACATAAAACAAAATAAAGTTATTGCATAAACGCATATGCACGCATGTCAGTGCTTTTGCCAACACTGCCCACGTTGTTTTTGTTTCATAACCTGGTGTTTGGTCAGTTGCATTAAATACTAGAGAGGCTGTCAGTGTCAAAGTCAAACAGAAGGCTGTGCAGGGGATGCTAACCGGCTAGCTAGTTAGCTTGGGGAAAGTCTCTGTTTGTGACTTTGTTTCAGAAGCAGGGATGAAGTACCACGTGTGAAACTTAAAACAACACTTACGTGGTTCCATATGTCTGAAGGGGGATGGCTGCCCCGGCTCGGTTTTCCACTCTGTCTCAGAAAACATCTCGCTAAACAAACCGGAGTCACCCCGCTCCTGATGGCAGCCATGCTGGAGGAAAAGCAAAGCTGCTACGGGAAGACGGAGGAGTCAATTCTCCAGGCGCGCAGCAACACGCTCCGCCCGAATTCAGTGTACATTATTTTTAAAGATAATATGGCATTTCTATTGGCCTTTAAAACAACACAAATACATGTTACTATTATTTAATAGTAAATAATTTACTGTTACTATTATTTAATAGTAACATGTATTTTTCTTGCTGTTTTGTTTATTGTAAATGTACCTTTTATATTTGTGTACTTTTATTTTGTTTAGGGCACTGGGTGATTTGGGCACCTTCAAATAATTAGTACTCTACTGAAGACTTCTAAAGTATAACTACTTTACTGTATTTCCAAACTCTACTCTACAAGGCTACTATAAAGTATATCGTACATTCTCGGATTTAAAATATTTAGTCAAGAAAAATTGAGCATTTCACATGTTTAAATTAATTAAACACATGAAATACATATATGCAAAAATGACTGATTTCCAGACTTGACACTTTTGGAAATGTAATCATTCAATCAAGTCAGATAACTTCATGAAAGGAGACAATGGTAATAGGCGCTGATCAATTAACTGATTGGTCGACAGCTCTACTATTGTGTACTCAGAAATCACAACAATACACACCAAAAATGTTGTTTTGAGGCAGATTTGACATTTTAATTAGAATAATACATAATGACAACCCTTTCCTCCCAAACTGTCCTCTTATCCATCCATAAATATTTACAAAAGTCATAATCAGTCTGTCTATTCAATAGTGTCCTTCCATGGCTTTTCCGCCTTGCCAGCTGGCTTTGCTTTAGCTGATTCTGCGGCTATGCGGGGGGTCGGCTGCTGCAGGGGATTGTGGTTAAAAGTCTGCCTCAGTGGACCTGCAGAGAAACATAAAGAGAAGACGTATAAAAACATTGAGTTTCAGACCACACAGAAAGTGACAAAGCCTTGACACCACAGACACAATCATGCTCATAGATCCTTGTAGCATGCATCTATCAATTGTTTTCTTAAATACTTAATTGGTCAACAAAATGTCAGTAAATATTGATCGATCAAATGTCTAATTTTGTCCGTCCTACAGTCCAAAAAAACAAAACATTAATTGCAGCATCATGAAAACTGGAATGTCTACTTAGTTGCAATCAGTGTTCAGGCCTGAACCTATATGCAAAAACTGAATATCCATCAAGATTTGTTTACATTTTAAGTATCTTTCAAGTTATGGATTCATTTTCTCACACTATTTGCTCTTTTTGAGGCCCATAATCCCATTAATGTCAGAGTTACTTCTTTATTATATTATTTTGTTTCTGTCTTATTATTGTAATACCAGTGTATGGCCACAAGGGGGAGCATATCTGCCGTTTCTACATCAAGACCACTTCATTTTGTTGTGCACATTATTGAATAACAGCATTTAAATAAGCAGTCTATTGAGGCTAATAACCCAACAGGCTATAGTGGCATTCCAGTTATTCAGTGTTATGCAACTTTATTCTTCATTTATGTAAATTACGATGCACTTTTACATACACATCATATATCATCATATCATTCAAGCCACATTATATCATATGCAAATGTACTTTTCCACCTGCACACCTTGGACATACTGACCTTTAGAAGCGATCTCCAGATGATTATTGATTCTTCTTTCCCTTTCTGAAAGCTGCTGGGCCAGTTGAGCGTTATTCCAGCCTGGAAACCAAACCAAAGTTACACCATGGACACAACTTGATAATTGACTTATTCTACTAAAACAAAAATGAATCCATCAAATGCAATCAGTTGGGTGTAGAGTTTAGATACCAACCCTTCTTGAGGCTTGCGATTAAACCCTCATTTTGGGGCACGGCTGAGGTTGGGTGCTCGATCCTTGCCGGGATCATTAACTTCTCTCTGACCAATGGGTGTCTGAGCAGGACGACTTGACACAGGGAGAAGCAGTTGGAGGTCAGCCAGTAGGTGAACACCGCCTGAGGTTTGGTAGAGGAGAAAAGGATCGGTATTAAACGGCTGCGGCGTATGATGAAAGGTGAAGTCAAAACAATAAGCTGACTGACCGTGGGGAAGTTGATCGTGAAAGGAAGGATGACAAAAGGCATGATCCTGAACACAGTCTTCATGGTTCTCAGGTTGGGGTTGTCGACACCAGACTCAGCCCCAAACTAAAAGAGACAAAGCGGTGAATAAAACAATATAATCCTGTTGATATGACTTTTCAGTTCTCTTTCTTTCTTTACGACAAGGAAGTCAAAGCCCGCTGACCTCCAGGATGAAGAACATGGTTCCTGTGACGACTACAGGGAGGATGTAAAAAGGGTCTGCTGCCGTCAGGTCGGGGAACCAGAGCAGGCCTCCGCTCTGCATGCTGGGCACCGGCAGTTCGGCCATCTTCCTCAGCGCGATGAAGAAGGAAATGAAGACTGGGGCCTGGAGGAACACATGAGGGATTTATCCTGACAGCACATGAACTGCAATCATACACAGATATTGTTGCTATTTCCAATTTTTGTAAACTCTTTTTAATGCACACGTTGAAGGAAGATGCTGAATTACATTTCACTGGATGTATGCCTTATATGGTTATATGTGGCAAACTAAATGGATTAATACTAAACGGAGAAATGTTAAAGGGGACCTATCATGCAAAATGCACTTGTTGATGTCTTTTATACATAAAGCTGTGTCCCCTGTGTGTCGGGCAACTCACGCAGCGTCAGAAAATAAAACCCTCTCTTTTCCTCCGTACCCAAATCTCTAAAAACGGGGCTACAACGAGTGGATACAGATTTGCCTCCGATATGACGTAATATCGGAAATGTGGACCCACGGCCCTATCAGAAACGCTGCTCTCAGAAACAATGCCCGACTTTTTTGGACGTAATATGGTCGGTGTTTACATTAGCATCGCTAACACTCAGAGCTAACCTGTACTGGAGAGCATGTGTGTGAAGAAGCAGGAAATAAAAAGGAACTCACCTTGTGGTATAACCGGCAAGAGAGAAAGCCTTTGAGCTCCATACTGTTTCAGAAATAATCCATGATATGGTGTTTCATCACGGCAGCATTTAGTTTAGACAGTAGCTGCCGGGTCCCGCATGAGCTCAGCCCCCTCCTTTTTTATTTAGTCTTTTTTTTTTTTAAAGCTTTATTCCCCAAATCAGCACTTTTGAAACAGGAAGTGAAATAGAGGGATATGAGGCATGGCTAGAATGGGTGATCTGTTTGGTATTTTGAGCAAAACACTTCATAGACATGTTTTTTATATAATTTTATATATCTGAGACCTATTGCCCACAAATAGCATGATAGGTGACGTTAAAGCCATATCATCAATATGTTTACAAATATGAAGATGCCACAGTTATGTGAACAGCAAGTCTTCGTCTAAATGCAATTTTCTTTCCACAAAAGTCAACTGAATAGAAATACAGACGTGAAAATTATGTCTGCTTTGACAAATTATACATACTTGATGGATATAACCAGGATAAAGACATTAACTGACCTGAATCAAAGGTACCAGGAATCCGCGGAGAGGGTTGACATCGTGCTTCTTCTGGAACAAGTTCAGGTCAGAGTAGGCCTTGGCAACTGTAACATGCAAACAACAGGTCATGACGAAGCTAAAACCTGATTTTGTTCTACATGCCCACACTAATAAATAATAAACATCTCTATTGTGACTTAAAAGAAGAACATTTTTTACAGTCAAATTTGTTTCCACTGTTTTTAGCCTCGCTCATCCTGGTATTCAGTTTGGTCAGCTCGGGCAGAACATTGCTCAGCTTGGCCGCCTCCCTCTGGCCCTTCACGATGACCGGGAACACGGCCAGACGAGCAAACACCGTTCCTAAAGGAGAGGGAGGGATGACATGAAGAAGAGGATGGTAAGAAAGGACACAGGAAATACAGTGGACGTACTTACAGCAGCCTCAGGTCTAAAACCACCAGACTAACACTTTCCTCCCACAGGCCATAAGACTGTTAAACACCTGAACTTCTGAAACAACATCCATAACATTCATCTGTTTGCAACTCATATATATCAATATTCCAATTACTGTATATAGACTATTCTGCGCTGTTTCAATTATATTTTATTTACCTGTAATATTGTATCTGTCTCATTGTGTTGCTCTGTTGGAGGAGCCTGTGACCTACGATTGTCATTGTCATAACTACGCTGTAGCTATGCACACATGACAATAAAAGCCTTGAAGCCTTGAAAGACGTAGCTTGAATCGCTTGAGTGACTGATTGTTAGTGTTGCTCACCTACGACGATGGCCCCCCACCAGGGCAAACCGACATCCATGTGAGCAAACTCTAGCAGGTTCTGGACCAGCCCCACCGGGGTGTAGGAGCCCAATCCCAGCTCCACTAATCTGGGTTCTGCCGCCACCGCCTGCAGGACCTCAGCTGCAGTCGGCGCGACATCAGCCAGCTGCTCGGTGAACGACTGCGATAAAACAACGGCAGAGTCAGCGGACAGAAGCTCAGAGGAGGAATCCAACACTGGAGGAGGAGATGTGTTGACTAATGGTGCCGCCGTGGAAACAGTTTCAACCAGGATCTGAAAATAACAATTAGAATGGAATCAGTTAAAGTTAGAAGGTGGCCAAAGGCCTTAGATTTGACTTCAGATGTCGTCTCAGCTACCTGTTCTGTGATTGGTTGTGTGGGGTAGGACTGCAGGACAGGAAGAACTTCAGAAGTCGCCGTGGTTACATCCTCGGGCGGGACCTGGTGATGATATTAAAAACAAGGTATGATTTCAAGTAGCTGTTCAATTTGAGGATTTGTTGCATTTTGAAATCTCAGTCAGACCACAAACATATTTTTATAATTGATAGACTTTCATAATTTCAATATAGAATCACTGTAAACACAGAAGGCTCCAGTGCAACAAAAGAAAATGGCTGAACAAAAACTGATTATAAATATGAAGTGCTCAGGTAGCGGTCCAGTGTGTGAGAAATGATGTGTCTAAATTAATAAAAAAATGCTAAAGAAGGTGGAAATTGCTAAATTCAAAAAAACTGAACTCGATCCTTTGGTCCATTTCAAAATGTACTTCATATTTTGACTGTACACAACAGGGTAATAAAATAGACCCATATTGTAAATTCTGGTTATTCCTCCAGACAAGCCATCTCTATATATATGAATGTGTTATTAACTCTGTGGTTAAAAAACGAATATAATACTATTTCCTTTCGACTGAGGATGAGTTTGATGTTAGTGATGTGCAGCTGTTTCTGATTGACAGATACTTCACCATGTCTCGTCTCACCTGTGAGCTGTTGTGTCTGACGGCCACAGCGTTCACCCAGAGGAACTTCCTGTTCAGTGTGCGGCCCAGCAGAGTCCTGGCAGCAGGACTGCAGCTCTCAAACACTGTGTGCAGATGGGACTTCTGGAGCAACCGCTGAGTAGAAGAGAAGGGAAGTGTCAGCAATATACACAATAACAAACTACTACAACTACTACAACCTAGGGCTGCTCAATTAATCGTATTTTAATCGCAATTACGATTTTGGCTTGCAACGATTATGAAAACAACATAATCGAAATAAAACGATTATTTATTTATTTATTTTAATCTTTTTTCTTATTGGTTTTTCAGTTGAATTATACTTACAGTTCAGGGTAATCAACTGTTAAAAACATACTGTTCACATTTTTTTTTTCAATAAATGGATGTTTTCAAAGTAAAGGATAATTGTTTTTAATAATCGTGATATCAATTATTGACCCAAATAATCGAGATAATGATTTTTGCCATAATCGAGCAGCCCTACTACAACCTGATGACGCATATGAGGGCTCTGTCATATCATTGCTTGGATGCAGTCGCTTAATGCTACCTGCATAAATTGTGATTAATGCAGAAACACCAGGCGATTAATTGATAGAAAATTGAAAAGACAAATGTTTTGAAGAACCATTATTCCTTTAGGTTATGAATGTATGCATTGTGGGACTGATGAAGCTAGCATTGGGTTCTGAGAAGTGGTTCTTGCATCAACTACTTACAAAAACAACCTCCAAGACGTTAGGATCCACCCCTCTTGAACGTTTTTGCAAATCCAGGGGAAAGTAGCGATGTACTTTATTGACCTTTATGGTGCATTTTGAACTAAAAACTAAACATCATTTACTAAAGAAGGTGTAATGAAAATGCAATAACAATAATGATTAGTTTGGGCTTTAAACCTGCAAACTACAGATACATTTGAATGTATATTAAGGTGACCTGATCCAGAGAAGAAACAGATATGAATGCTGTAACAACACCTTAATTGTGAATCTGTAAATCACATTGTAGAACCTTTTCCTTTAAGCTTTTTATTTTATTTTTGAATTATTGCATCATTAATAAGCACTGCACTAGTGTCTTTGCATTATATTTTCCTTCATTTCGTCAATAATTATTTGTTTTAAGTGCCTTGTGAATTAAGAATACTGATTGTGTATACTGATCCTCTTTCTTCGGTCAATAATGAATTGAAACAGATGTTTTTACACAATATTAGATGAGTTTAACACTCATGCGAGCCATGCGATCAAGATCTATGTTCACAATGAAGGATTTACACTTTGAGAAATTGATAAAATCATCTGAGCATTAAGATTAACTCTGTGATGATTACCTATGATAAGTTATACATCTCAATGACCTCTGGTGGCCTTTGGCTGATTCCTACAGGTCAGGACACATCAGCTGGGTTTGAACTGTAAGTTTTAGATTCAGTTTTCAATATTAGAACATAGTTATAATAAATGTGGAGCACTAGCATCAGCATCAGTACTTTAGGAGCATTGTTTTGCTAGTTGTTGACAAAGCTAACGGCTGCTAACAGAGCCCTGCTAGCATATACTTACATATTCATGTAAATAAACTCCTGCTGGTCTTACACAAGTATTATTGTGATTTACGCAACTCTGCCTACGTTGTTCTTGGTAAAAGCCTGGTGCATTTGCATGAAATAAAAGAGATACTGTCTTCACTAGAGAGGCTGTCAGTGTCAAAGTCACACAGAAGACATTGGTAACTGTGCAGTGGATGCTAACCGGCTAGCTAGTTAGCCGGGGAAAGACTCTGTTTGTGACTTTGTTTCAGAAGCAGGGATGAAGCAACACGTGTGAAACTGTAAACAACACTTACGTGGTTCTCATATTGTCGTGAAGGGGGATGGCTGCCCCGGCTGCGGTTTTCCACTCTGTTCTCAGGAAACCATCTCGCTAACAAGCCGGAGTCACCCCGCTCCTCTGATTGGCAGCCATGCGGAGGAAAAGAGAAGCTGCTACGGCGTAAGCGGGGGACTCAATTCTCCGCGCGCGACGCAGCTACACGCTTCCGCCATTGTTTTGTTTATATTAAGATATATTAAATATCAAATAATACGTTATTAAATTACTATTCCGTTGTCACACAAACAAAAATAAATCAAAAACAATACTTTAATAAATCAACTAAAACGTACAGTAAAGGTTCGAAATGGATGAGATGAAAGCGATGCAAAAACCTATGGGAATGACACCACCTAAATAAAAGAGAGTGCAAAGCATTCATAAACTGATCCCGAGGTGAGAAGAGTATCGTTAGCTTAGATTCACTGCCTCTCATTACAATGATCGATTGGGCAGAAACATAGATCATTGTCATTACTGTAAGAATCAAATATATATTATTACATATTATCTGTAGGCATGTCTATTTGCTTTAATTCGATCCCTCTTCAGTTGAACTTCCTGAAGTTTTTCGTTTTGTTTTTGTTTGCCCTGTCAAACCACACGTCTTCTATGATTCAGTAATGTTTGTCATAAAGTTCATGGAGACTAGGTGAGTACATGACCGCCAGGCAAGGCAACCTGTAACTTTGTACTTCAATGGTGTATGTGGCATAAGCATGCATGTCCTTCAGCATAGGCAGCAGCACCTCTCTTTTATCTGTGTGATTTACTCTGCTATTGGCTCACAAATGTCAGCAACGGACTCACTAGAGCATTGTGGTTGTATTTCAAAGCATCTTAAGAAGCAGTTTGCAGAGGTCATTGGCTGCAATGATTTCACTAGCGAGTTTGTAATAACAGACGATGATTTCAGATAGTAGAGTATGTAAATAGGAAACAAACCCATATGAGACAAAGGATCTTGCACAATGTGATTCATATTTATTGTCGAGATGTATGAGCATTTTTTCCCTCTAGATTTTACTACTAAGTGCCAGTCTATTATAAATCTCGGAGTAAGATTCAGCCCCGTTACCAAAGTGGCTTACTTGAGGCAGACCGGTGGCCCCAAATGTGTGACATGAATGGAGTCCATGGCCTTGTTTATTGTGAACTATGGCCATCAGTATGGAACTTTTTGGAAATAGAACATGTTAGAATTAGTTGTTATGGTAAGTTTTTGCTTATCTCACCCTGGGTTCTATGAGCTATGTGCCATGAAGCGTTTCCAATGGCGGGGACTGCTACGAATGGCGGACGTGGGTTGCGAAACCTGCCAGAAGACGCCGGACTGGTTATGTCTCAAGGGGGTGTTCGTGAGCGCGTCTTCAACTAGCTGATACGCGAATCTAGCTTTACTTATCTCGGGTTACAGA